GTCAGGCCACCATTAGTGATTATCAGTCCATCATGATTTAATGATGTTCTTCATTAAATTGGAGAACAGGCTGGCTTTAGCAGGCTGTCAAAAGTTCAGATGTGTCTACACATGGAATCTGGTTCAGATGGACCATATACCATTTTTCTCTTTCATTTCCACTGAAATTTGAAACCCTTTCACAGTATTTGCCTAGTTCTGAGCTGTCGTCCCTATTATTAATTTTATATCTTTTACAATTTATTTGTAAGAAGTCTTTGAAGCGATTTTTAAAATTGCCCCTTCAAATATCTTCCTTTGCCTGAAGCAATTACCATAACCATCAAGGCAATGGTTACTTAGTATTACTTTTTCCTACTGTTTTGAGCATTCTAGACTTCCTGTTCCAGACCCTTGATCACGCATTTGTGTCTCTATTAAGATGAATTCAAAATAATTTTCTAGAGAGAATTTTGGCCTTGTTTCCTCCCTGCTAATATCTAAATAGATAAAGGATAATCTCATCATCAAGCAGGTATCATTGGTAGGTTGCATTGTATTCACAAGTTCTTGACCCTATCTCCATCCATCTCCATTGCCTATTAAGGCCCGTATTTAACAGGTAGCATAGGAGAGCTATATTGAATTCTTATCAGAGTTCAAACTCAATCTTATTAACTCCCAATATTTATCAAAATTTTTCCTGAGGTAAAGTGTGTTGGGAATATTGCTTAAAGGTTAACAAGGACACTTGTATTTACAGATGTTTGAAATTGACCACTGAACCAGCCCAGAATAGTAGAGAGCTGTGTATCTAGATTGTATTGTATCTGACCCTTAATAGAATTGCTTTTACTGAATTAGACTGATACCATCATCTTGTAGTAAGGGTTGCCATGAGAAACTATTGTGTTTGGATCTGTTAAAATCATTGTTTATGCCATTATATATTTTCTTCGTTATGAGGCCCCATCAAATTTCTAACTAGTTTTGGATTCTCCTATGCATTGGTATATATAGTTAATTGCCTCTGAATGGCTTATCTGACGACATTACTTTTTTATATTGGTTGTTTGAAATCTTAGAGTCAAATAAAAATGTTATATAAAAAATGTGTAGGTTATTGTGGCATATATTTTTCTGCCTCCAGTTCCAATTTATGCTCTCTAACCTAAGATGGATTTTTGTATGTTTTGCTAAATCATCTTCTAGAACTGGCAGGGTATAAATAAACCATCAGACCTTCTCGATTCTAGACTTCCTGTACAAAGACTAGTATATAATCTTAATAGCAACAGTCATCTGTATACTGCTTACAGTATACCAGGCATTTTGGTAAGCACTTGAGATATTAATCTCAGTAAGCATTGATAATGTTAGTATGTCTGTTTTATAGTTGAGGAAAAACTAAGACATAGAGACGCCTGTTAGTATGGGGTGGAGGTAGGACTCAAATCCAGGTAGCCTGGCTCTAGAGTCTGCCCTTACCCACTAGACTATGCTGCTTTTCCAGTCTGAAGATTTAAGAATGACTGTGAGAGTACACATTCCCTGCCTTCCCTGCCTGAAGCGCCAGTGTGTATAAATGAAGCATGTAATTTTAAGATCATTGTGGATGATAATTTCATATTTGGATGTGTATTGTGTCTAGGCTTGCCTTTCCTATCCAATTAATGAGGTCTGAGAAGTTGGCACAAAAGAGCAAAAGTTTTTTCCACTGGATGTTTTTTCAGACATTTTTTTTCTCAAATTTGTGAAATAAACCAAATTGAATTAAGTTGGTAAGTGCCAATTTAGGTTGAGGACAGTGTAATCTGAATTATGTTCATTTGAATTTGGTGGTAGAGTTCTGTTTCTGCCACATTCAGTGATTTGGGACATGATTGAGCATATTTCTGTTTCATACTGCTGCCCTTCTATCTTTTAGAGTTAATACTGTACCTATGCTGAGAATTCAGTGAAGTATATGTGAAATCTTTGTGCTTCTAATTTGAAATAAAATGGTGGTATGCTTAGAAATACTATTAGCTAGAGGAAAAGAAAACCACCCCTTGAATCTGTGGCTTCATTTCAAAAATTTATACTTTTTGCTTTGACAGTTAAAGAGGAATTAGTAAACAATGCATGCAGAAGTGGCCAGACCTCAGTAATTACCCTTTGCAGTACACAGAAGAGAAGTCTTCATCTTAGTTTTTCTATGAACGTGAGACTACCATCATCAAAATCACCTGTGCTGCTTGTTAAAAATCCAAATTCCTGGGCCCCATTGCTGACAGAATGAATCAGAATCTCTGGTTTGGGCCTACTATAAGCACTTTCACTAAAGTTGGTGCACATCACAGCTTACAAATTACAGTTTTAGAGCTTGCCTGGTAAGAATTGTTTTGGAAGCTCTTAAATGTTTAGAAATATACTGTTTTCTAAAGATCCTGACAGAGTCCTTTGTGGTCAGCGGTACAGTAGATTGAAAAACCAAACTTTAAAAAAATATGTAACTATACTTTTTTATACCATTGACGTACGATCTTATATTGATTTCAAATATATGACACCATGGTTCAAGAGTTACCCATATTATTAAATCCTCACCCCCTGTAGTGCAGTTACTATTTGTCAACATAGAAAGATGGAGAACCAAGTTTTTTGAGTCAGTGAAGATGTAATGGCACCTTAAATTCATAAAAAGTTTCTATTTCCTTGTCACAAGTCTTGACCTGTGGCCCTGATTGTGGCCTCCATGTGAATAGTGAGACTGAAAGCCAGCTTTTAGTTGGCCTGATGAATCAGCCCTCAGAACAACAGTTTGAACAGGGGAGGTCCTTGCCTACTCTTGATGTTAGTCTTGGAAAATTTGTACTCATTTCTCATAGGACTATTTTTTTAGTCAGTGTCTCTTAGGAGTTACAGTGTTTTTCTGTCTTTGATCCAGTGATTCTGTCTCTAGCAACTTGCTCTTTTACAGTGTTTTGAGTTTGTGAGAGACTCATAAATTTTTTTCAAAGAAGTACATAATTTTGTGAATTCCCAAAGGAACTTTCTCTTTTTTTGCCATTTGGTTAAATATGTGCATAATATATGAGAGAAATAAATTGAAATAAAGTATTTCATTTTGATCAGTATATTATTATTAAACTGTATTATAAACTTTAATTCCTTTAACTATAGTACGTGCCTATAAAGACAAATGAATTTTCCCAGATTAGTGTTGTGCAGTGTTTATTTTAATTGTGTAATAAAACATAATTAGTCTACAAATTTTAAATGATGTGCTTTGGGGACTGAATATGAAGTTTAATGTTTTAATTTATATATTCAACAAGAGCTAGGGTAGGGATTGCTTTCCTGACCTGATGTTTTGAGAAACTTGGGTTACACTCTTTGTCAGCTTGTTCATCTTTTATAATGTTCAAGCTTTATTTCCCAATGGAAATCTAAGTGAGAGGTTTCAGGCTGCTATTTATAAACACTTCCTCAGAAGCAAATTATCCTGCTCCCCCAAAATAACAAAACAAAATCATCTACATTGGATATTACCACTTTTCTTTAACCCTGGCATTTCAAATACAATAAACATTTTTATATGACATGAAATTCATGCACATATATATTTCTAATAGAATATTGCAAATAATGAGATAAAGATTATCCAGATAAAATTTACCACTTTTATACTCTGTTAACTTGCTGTATCTCAGTGTTGTTTGTGTTTTTCTTTGTCTTTAGCCAGCAATCTGTTATGAGTACAGATTGATACATAATTAAGAAAAACCGTTTAAAACAATGTAGTCAAAAACATTCGGGTCTCTACTTGTATTGAGCTGAATAAGTGCCTTAAGTGGCTAACTTAGAAACCAGTTCATCTGCTTGATGAGAAACTCGTGTAAAAGCTTTCAAGTTGGCCTACTTTAAAGAAAATAATTTTGTATGTGTGTTTTAAACACAGAAAGTGAAATGGAGACTTAGTATTACCTTTAATAACATGTTATTGCTGGAACAACTGGTACATAAACAAATATAGACATTCTGAGAAGTAGATACCAGGATATTTATTGCTACTTTGTAATGATTATAAAAATAAGACAGATAGAGAAATGGAAGGAGGAAGAAAGAGGCAGCAATCTAAATGTCCATTAGTAAGTAATGACGGAGTACTGCATATACAGTGGAAAACTTCACCTTTGTGTGCCAGTATGGAAAGCAACTTGCAAAGCACCATATATCATATGAAACTGCTTTTGTATAAAATAAGTATACTTATGCATGGGAGTTGTCTGGAAAAATATATATACCACACTGTTAATATGACGGGGGTGGGGATTTAAGATGGGGAAGGATGGATGATTGAGGAAAACTTATTTTTAAATTATGCACTTCTAAATTGTGATGTGGGATTGATTAATTTTGTTTTAAGCCATTAGCATGTATAAAATTATTTTAAAACTAACTTAAAAGACCACTAAATTCAAGTGTCACCCTTTTTGGAAGCACTTAATTACATGCTGTCTTTAACAATTTTTATTATTTTAGGTAATAGTCCCTCCCATACAACATTGTGATGATGAATCTATGATCTTGTTAAAGTGAGGTGCTATGTGCTGTTACTTCTTTATTTCCAGGACCTAGCCATTGTCACCATAGTAGCTACTGAATACACGTTTAAATAAAGAAGGTATGGATGAAATATATATGAGATATGTTTCATGAACAATCCTGCTAGTATTTATAGAAGTTAAAAAATTATTTTTATGTCCCAAGACCATGTCAGACAGTTAATTTTTACTGGGTTAAACTAGTTCCCTTTTCTCAACTTCCCTTTGGTTTGAGTCTTAGGACTAACCCACTGCACTTAACATTTAAATTCTTTGAAATACTAGAGATTACAGAATTGTGACTGTATTAAAACTACATTGAGTCTAACTGTGTAAATCTCTCCAGCATTGCCTTCATAATAAACGCAACAGTCTGGGTTCCTGTATGCAGAAAAATGCCACTTACGCCTTCTTTCCCTTGCCTTCCACAAGGATTCTGATAATCCTGACCTTCGAGACCGGGGCTATATTTATTGGCGCCTTCTCTCAGCAGATCCTGTCACAACCAAAGAAGTAGTCTTGTCTGAGAAGCCACTGATCTCTGAAGAGACAGATCTTATTGAGCCAACTCTACTGGATGAACTAATCTGCCACATTGGTTCTTTGGCCTCTGTGTACCATAAACCTCCTAATGCGTTTGTGGAAGGCAGTCATGGAATCCATCGCAAACACTTGCCAATACATCATGGGAGGTAAGCAGGTGAAATAGATGAATTAGAGTGAGAAGTGACTCTGTTTAGACAGAGTTGGTTTTCTTCATGTTTTTATAATGTAGAAAAGAACTTGCATACATTTTGCCTACCTGCTAGACTGCCCTGAGGGTTTCATCTGAATACAGTGAGCACACATACAATGACAGACAGAGGCCCCTCTGTGTTCTAATCTGGGAGAAGATAGGATTGTGGCTTTCATGGTGGTGCAGACCTTCTAAACTGATAAAATGTGAAAGCTGCTTAGGTCTCCAGTAAGAGGCTAGAAATCTTCCCAGGGTTGAAAACTTGGAAGAACTCCTATATGTACATTTAGCTATCTTTAGCCTTTAACTTTGGTTGGGGCTCACGGAGAAAGTTATCAGATATTGCTTCCCTTACACTGTAAAGCTGTTAATGAAATAATATTTACAGGTTGTTTTATAAAAGCAGCTTACATTCTTTGTGGACATTGATTCTCAGTTTTACTTGTGCCTGTTTTAGCAAATTAAATTGATCATCTCAATAAGGAAATTCTGTTATGAATAGGTTCTCAGGTAACGTAAAACTTGTAAGGTATCTTAAAATTTTAGTTTGGGAGGAATGACTGTAATAAACTCTTATAGTGGGAATCTTGGAATCCTTTTGCAGTCTCCTTCATTAATCATAGTAAGGCTTAAATCTAAGTAGAATTTAATCCCAGAGGCATTAGAGTACTGCACTTCCATTAAAGAGTGTCTCGTACCATTCTCTAATATACACTGTGGTTTAAGTGGTTAATGAGTAGCTAGAGTGCAGGATTTATTGCTTTACAAATTAGCGTAGTCAACATTTTGGGTTGACTATTTAAAGTCTATTTAAACAGACTGTGGGCACAGATAGACAAAAAGGAAAGGGCGATACCAAAAAAACTTAGTTTCTTTCATTAGCCTTTATTTGAGTTGAGTCTTTGGTTTTAGGGTAAGTGCTATGATTTTCACCCGTAGGGGATTTGAGGCTTCATAAGGATCAGGCCTTGTAGTAATAGTGTGGTTTTCCTTGTAGGCAGGCATATTTAACATTCTCTAGATACGACCATTTGATTTTAAGGTCTCTCTCCTTGTCTGTGCTCTTGAGTTTTGATAAGAGAGAGGAATTTTCTGATAACTTTTGATCCTCACCTGGGAGACGGAAAGTTAAAGTAACAAACAGAACAGCCCTTTCTAGAACACAGGGTAAGAACCAATATTTAAACTATTTAAAAAGAAACAATCTCTTATATAGGGTCTTTACCTGATTAATAGCCTTTAATTTCTTACCTTCACAATACCATATGTGGTTCGTCTTTTTAGATAACCTTTCTGTCCATTTGTCCTTGTTTTCTGTTCGTAAAGGAAACACAAACACAGAAAAGTCCCTTTTGAAATAAATAGGGGCGGTATATTGCTGTAAATGGCATGTCTCTAGTAGTCCTGACATTACCTAGCTCTCTTCTGCAGCATAAGGTTAATAATGATATTCTTCTGACATGAAATAACAGCAACATTGTAAAACCTTATTCTGCCTCTTCTAGAAGTGTAAAAATACTTACCTTCAGTAAGTCTTTTAAAATCACTTGGGAAAGAAAGGGAAGTGCTTTTCAGTTGGGTGTTGCTTGTAGTACTTGTTAGCTGTAGGGGTGAGATGGTAAATAGTTGTCTAATTTAGAAAAATCTCAATTTTTAAAAAAATTCTTGCTTTGACAGTTGTGCAGTTAATGTCCCATGAATTCACAATGGGAAACATTTTCATGTTAATTTTCTTGTATTTTCCACTAGGAATGAATGCATAATAATGATTTACCATGTTTGTAACTTGTAGAAATTTTTGGATCATTTACTTCTTTTCATCTGACTCACTTTGTCTTATCATAATACTCTTCCTTTTCCATTACAGTGAAGGAATATATGTACCTTGTTCACCTATTCTGCCTTCTATTTCAAGGTTCTGATAAACAGTGTGACAGAACATCTCCTTAAATGGTACGTGTCACAAGATGAGAGAATTTACATCTGCAGAGAATAAATGCCCTTTATAGAGATCTCATGTACTTCTTGCCAGATGTATATGAAATCGCTTCCCCTTTTGGCTTTATTAATTTGGGGCTTATATTTGCCCCACCCTGTCTACATACTTCTCATCTTGGCTTCCTTGACACTTTTTTTTCCCTAGGTTATCTTCCTTAGCTTGTTTTTCTCTCTTTAATCTTTGCAATTCTGTGTTCATTCCCTTCTTGATTATTAATCTTGTTTGTATCACAAGGTTCATTCTGAACCTTCTCTTTCTGTGTTTGTCTTTGTATTCTCTTGGCAGAATTCATCTGCTAAAAACAGCAATACCAGACAGAAGGTTTTACAGTTTACACCATGTTTTCATTTGATCCTCTAAAATAAAACCGTGTTTTGGTAACATTGTTATCATATTATTGGTGAGCAAACTGTCTCAGAGTTGTTGTCACTTGCCGAAGATGATGCAAGTCGTAGTTGTTGGAGTACCACTTGATCTTGGTACTCTTATTCTAGACCCCCTACTCTTGTCACCACATTACAGTTATACTCTGCTGATTTCACCTGAGATGTGTATATGAATTTCTTACAAGTTTACCTCTCTGCCAGTCCCTTCTCCGTAGCTCACTATTGAACTTCTTTTTTTTTACTTGAAACTTAACAGTTGAAAATAGTGTATTATTTTTCCCATTATCCTTCCAGATTGCTCTGTGATTATAAGGAGCATCACTAATGTTCTGCTGCTTAGTTTTTGTTTGTGTATTCTCTGAGTTTGAGTCTTCATTGTTTGTCTTCTGTCTTCAAGTGTTGTTGAAACCTATCTAGTTTTTTTGGTTTTGTATTTTAAAAAAATATTTGTTTATTAATGGACTTTTTTTCTTCTACATTTTTTCTTTTATTAAGGTATTATTGATATGCATACACTCTTATGAAGGTTTCACTAGAAAAAAACAATGTGGTTACTACATTTACCCATATTATCAAGTCCCCACTCATACCCCATTGCAGTAACTGTCCATCAGTGTATAAGATGCCACAGATTCACTATTTTTATTAAGGTATTATTGATATGCATACACTCTTATGAAGGTTTCACTAGAAAAAAACAATGTGGTTACTACATTTACCCATATTATCAAGTCCCCACTCATACCCCATTGCAGTAACTGTCCATCAGTGTATAAGATGCCACAGATTCACTATTTGCCTTCTCTGTGCTACATTGTCTTCCCCATGACCCCTCATACCATGTGTACTAAACATAATACCCCTCAATCCCCTTCTCTCTCCCTCCCTCCTTCCCTCCCTCCCTCCCCATCTGCCTTCCCACACCCCTCCCGTTTGGTAACCGCTAGTCTCTTGGAGTTTGTGAGTCTGCTGCTGTTTTGTTCCTTCAATTTTGCTTCATTGTTATATTCTACAAATGAGGGAAATCATTGGGCACTTGTCTTTCTCTGCCTGGCTTATTTCACTGAGCATAATATCCTCCAGCTCCATCCATGTTGTTTCAAATGGTAAGATTTGTTTCTTTCTTATCACTGAGTAGTATTCCATTGTATATATGTAAGATGTCTAATTTATCCATTCATCTACTGATGGACACTTAAGTTGCTTCCATTTCTTGGCTGTTGTAAATAGTGCTGCAATAAACATAGGGGTGCATATGTGTTTTTAAACCTGAGAACTTGTATTCTTTGAGTAAATTGCAAGGAGTGGGATTCCCGGGTCAAATAGTATTTATATTTAGTTTTTTGAAGAACCTCCATATTGCTTTCCACAATGGTTGAACGAATTTACATTCCCACCAACAGTGTGGGAGGGTTCCCCTTTCTCCACATCCTCACCAGCATTTGTTGTTCTTGGTCTTTTCGAAGCTGGCCATCCTTACTGGTGTGCAGTGATATCTCATTGTGGTTTTAATTTGCATTTCCCTGATGATTAGTGATGTGGAGCATCTTTTCATGTGTCTACCATCTGAATTTCTTCCTTGGAGAAGTGTCTCTTCATATCTTCCGTTCGTTTTTTAATTGGGTTATTTGCTTTTTGGCGTTGAGGCATGTGAGTTCTTTATATACTTAGGATGTTAACCCCTTGTCGGATATGGCATTTACAAATACATTCTCCCATACCATAGGATGCCTTTTTGTTTTATTGATTGTGTCCTTTGCTGTACAGAAGCTTTTTAGTTTGATGTAGTCCCATGTGTTCATTTTTTGCTTTTGTTTCCCTTGCTTGAGGAGATGTGTTCAGGAAGAGGTTGCTCATATTTATATTCAGGAGATTTTTGCCTATGTTTTCTTCTAAGAGGTTTATGGTTTCATTACATTCAGGTCGTAAATCCATTTCGAGTTTACTTTTGTGTATGGAGTTAGACAGTAATCCAGTTTCATTATCTTGCATGTAGCTGTCCAGTTTTGCCAACACCAGTTGTTGAAGGAGCTATCGTTTCCCCATTGTATGTCCATGGCGCCTTTATCGTGTATTAATTGACATATGTGGTTGGATTTATATCTGGGCTCTCTAATCTGTTCCATTGGTCTATTGTTCTGTTCTTGTGCTAGTACCAAATTATCTTGATTATTACTGTGGCTTGTAGTAGAGTTTGAAGTTGGGGAGCATAATCCCCCCAGCTCTGTTCTTCCTTCTCAGGATTGCTTTGGCTATTCAGGATCTTTTGTGGTTCCTGATGAATTTTAGAACTACTTGCTCTAGTTCATTGAAGAATGTTGTTGATATGTTGATAGGCATTGCATTGAATGTGTAGATTGCTGTAGTCAGGATGGCCATTTAAACAATACTAATTTTTCCTGTCCATGAGGACGGGATGTGTTTACATTTATTGGTATCTTCTTTCTCTCATGAGTGTCTCGTAGTTTTCAAAGTATAGGTCTTTCTCTTCCTTGGTTAGGTTTATTCCGAGGTATTTTACTCTTTTCTGTGCAATTGTGAATGGAATTGTTTCTCTGATATTAATGGAATTTTTAATGTTCTTTTTAACTTCATTTTGTTTATACAATATTTATATAAATCTTAGAAAATATGCAAGATAAAATGGTGTAACAAACATACACTCATTGCTCAGCTTCAACAGTTACCACTATTTTGCCAGTCTTGGTTCACTTATCGTACCCACAGTGCTTTCTTTGAGTTTTTGTTTTTTGTGGGGTGCTTTTTTGAGGGAACTGGAGTACTTTAAATCAAATCCCATTCCAGAACTCATATCATTTCACTACTAAATCCTTAACTTGGTATCTTGAATAGATAAGGACTTAAAAAAAAATCACATTATCAAGCCTAACAAAAGTAGAAATCTGTAATATTCAATAAACAGTCTGAATGACTTCTAGATTTTCTTAATTGTCATCTATATTTTATATATTTATTTACTTATTAAGGGGTCATGGATATACAGTCTTCAAAGGGTTTCACCTGAACGGCACTGTGGTTTCAACATCTACCCATGTTATCAAGTCCTTACCTTTCCCCACCCCCGCATTGAAGTCACTGTCAGCATAGTAAGATGCTATAGAGTCATTACTTGTCTTCTCTGTCCTGTACTGCCTTCCCCATGACCGACCTATATTATGATTGCTAATTATACTACCTTTCAATCCCTTTCCCTTGCTTGAGGAGATGTGTTCAGGAAGAGGTTGCTCATATTTATATTCAGGAGATTTTTGCCTATGTTTTCTTCTAAGAGGTTTATGGTTTCATTACATTCAGGTCGTAAATCCATTTCCCCAATCCCTTCCCTTTGGGAACCACTAGTCTCTTACAAATAGTAGGATTTGTTTTCTTCTTACGGCTGAATAATATTCAATTGTGTATATGTACCATACCTTCTTTATCCATTCATCTGCTGATGGACACTTAGGTTTCTTCCATATCTTGGATATTGTAAATAGTGCTGGAATAAACATAGAGGTTCATGTGTCTTTTTGATTCATGGGTCTTGTTTTCTTTGGGTAAATTCCTAGGAATCGAATGACTGGGTCAAATGAAATTCTATTTTAAGTTTATTTATTTTTATATTTTTTATTTTGGTATCATTAATCTACAGTTACATGAGGAGCATTATGTTTATGAGACTACCCCCATCATCAAGTCCCCCTCACATACCCCATTACAGTCACTGTGCATCAGCGTAGTAAGATGCTGTAGAATCACTACTTGTGTTCTCTGTGTTTTACAGCTCTCCCCGTGACCCCCACCCCCTACATTGTGTCTGCTAATAGTAATGCCCCCCATTTTTCCCCTTATCCCTCCATTCCCATCCATCCTTCCCAGTCCCTTTCCCTTTGGTAACTGTTAGTCCATTCTTGGGTTCTGTGCGTCTACTGCTGTTTTGTTCCTTCAGTTTTGTCTTTGTTCTTATACTCCACAGATGGGTGAAATCATTTGATACTTGTCTTTTTCTGCCTGGCTTATTTAACTGAGCATAATACCCTCTAGCTCCATCCATGTTGTTGCAAATGGTAGGATTTGTTTTCTTCTTATGGGTGAATAATATTCCATTGTGTATATGTACCATATCTTCTTTATCCATTCCTCTACTGATGGACACTTAGGTTGCTTCCATTTCTTGGCCATTGCAAATAGTGGTGTGATAAACATAGGGGTGCATATGTCTTTTTCAAACTGGGCTGCTGCATTCTTAGGGTAAATTCCTAGGAGTGGAATTCCTGGGTTAAATGGTATTTCTCTTTTTAGTTTTTTGAGGAACCTCCATACTGCTTTCCACAATGGTTGAACTAATTTACATTCCCACCAGCGGTGTAGGAGGGTTCCCCTTTCTCCACGTCCTCTCCAACATCTGTTGTTGTTTGTCTTTTGAATGGTGGTGATCCTTACTGGTGTGAGGTGATATCTCATTGTGGTTTTAATTCGCATTTCTCTGATGATTTACAATGTGGACCATCTTTTCATGTGTCTGTTGACCATCTGAATTTCTCCTTTGGAGAACTGTCTGTTCAGAT